GATTGCCAATTGCGTAATTATGAGAATAATGGCGATAGTTGATTGAGTTTACGATTATCTTAACGAAAGTATTTGATCATTCGGATTCGAACAAAACTTCCGCATTTCGTAATGGGAAAGTTTTAATCGAAATCGAATGGTGAATGAATGTTATCTAATCTAAGCCAGGTTATGATTTGGCCTGTTCTGATTATCTAATAACGTGGTCCATGCCCATTTCATTTGAGTTGAGTTCAAGTCATTTCAGATGTCACTGAAGCAAGACATCAACCAAGAAATGCAACCGTACGAATCACAATACTCCTCACAATGATCTGTTTTTCCACACTGATGATCTCCGCTGCAGATGCGCGCATTTTTTACATCAGATCCAAAAACTCCGATAAATCGATCGCCGATTCTGCAGTTAACCCGACTGAATCGTCTTCGTCGACACGACCGTGCAAGGTGAATATTTCACTTGATGGCCTCGAATCCTTTTGAATGAGTTTTATAAATCGAATTCGTGAATGTTCTCAGATCTTTGCAGTATTCTTGTCCATAGCGATAGCAATAGTGATAATAATACTATTATCGGCATTCTTATTAGCATCACATTATTATTGTCACTAATGATATTGCTAACAGATAACTAGGTTATAAATAGCTTGTTGAAGTTCTGAGCAATTTGTTATGTTCTGAGGGTGCAATTGTTCTAAGATTCCGAGCAATTTCAACAATCGCAATCAACTTTTATGTGTCACTCGCCATACGCATAAAAATTCGTCGTCAAACTAATTGTATTTGTAACGGGATCAAATTCAACGAGAGTTCAAAAACTTGTGCATTGAATGACATTGTAACGAGATGATCATTATCGACACATTACGACCCATAAATCCGTTAGCAACTCGTTCTTTCACGATAAGCATTTCCGATGACAGTTTCTACTATCGGTGAAGTGATATCGATTTATCGGTTGAGTTATTCAAGACTTCCAAAGAATTGAATTGAAAACTTAAGTAAGCTATTCGGACTTCATCAAGATGGTTTTCTTTTTATTTACCCCATTAAATAGCACAGTGAAACCACACAGAACTCATAAGGACAGATCGATGTTCACCTACGAGATAGAATTTTCAGATGAGAATTCAAAATACAAGCAAATTTATTATAGCAAGCAAAAGTCAGAAGATGAATTAGAAATTGGAACATGGAATCCAAAGGAAAATTTCATTGTTACAAGGAGTCATTGTGATATTCGCCGAAGCACGGACTTCATTCAATTTTCATGTATTCTTATAGTAGTAGTGCGATAGAAGTTCAATGAAAAGATACCGGAAAATCGAAATTATAAAATTTTGTTAAGCTCACAGTTATACACTTGAAGGGAATTAATGGAGAGGGATAATGAAAAGATAATGAAATTCTGTTTTGCAACAAAATGCTGAATGATTAGCTTAGCTGAACCCATCCAAAAGTTATGCTAGACCTGCTCATCTAGCACAATATGCAAACTACTGCATTGTGCAGAAAATGGATATTAGGTTTATATTCGGATACTCATGAATATGCGATTAGTGCCGTATTCAAAATCCCATTGAATCTAGTTGCAATTTTCAGATCTACCTGAATCAACCGCTGCATGCGATCATGGATCGGGTTTGTGTCATTTGTCATGAGATGTTCTCGCACGAACGACCCAATATGCGAGTTGAATGTCGCTCGAACTGCTTCAGATCGGAGCATTTCCGTAAATGTCTGGATATGTTCCGACCTAATCAAGAAGCTCAGGTTTTGCTTAAGGGTAGCAGTAGTTAGAGACATGTTATCTGTCAAACTGTCGACGTTCTGATGAGATGCGCAACGATGAACAATACAATGGAATTGCTGAAGTGTCACCGACGTTTAAAATCAATCATTTTCTATGATATCGAAGAAATAACCCCACACAAACTGTCTCATGCTTTCCGTTAGAGCACTCTGGCACGACACCGTAGCAGCACTCGTAGACATCCAATACTATTGTGTTCTGTTCAAATCTAATCGTATGTAATTGAACTGAAGCATGTGATCATCATCAGCGTCACATCACTCTTATCTGTCGATTCTAGTCAAATTTTCAGTGGTTTGATTTCTATTCTTAATTCAACAACATTTTCGATGTACGATCATACTTGAATGTAATGAATTATAGTGCAAAGACCTTGCTTGAGTCGTTCTTTTGCGATCATGAATTAATGATGAAAATTACGATGCCAATGTACGCAATTCCAGAATTCATTGCGCCAACAAACGAACTGAATGAATGTGATTAATGTTCTATCGAAGTTCGACTCCATACACTCTAATCATAATTATAATTGAAGTGTTAAATCATCTGTCCTTTTTAGTTTCAGCAGTTATAACTCGAAAACAGCACTTATGTACGATATCATTCATTGCATATCTGATATTTACTCATGCTTCTAATTACTTCATCTAACATTTGTTGCGAAATCGAACTTTAAAAATAATCCAACATCGAACATCAATTGCTAATCTGTATAATCATTGAAACCAACTGCAGAATTTCATTCTTGAATCGTTTTCGAATACATCAACGACTGCTAAAAAATAATCGGTGACGTTGTGGGTGGAAAAGAAATTTTTTTTCTGAACAATAACGGATGCTGATAATGACTGGATAATATCAAAAAGCAGTGACCTATTCCTCCTCGGTCAGGGGATGTCTCAGTGAGTTGTGTTGCACGAATATTTATGCTTGATCAATCAAATTGGTATATGTGTGCTTCACGTTACCTATTTGTGATTGCAACAAGAAAATGTTAGTTGAGCAACGATGTTGATCGATGTATTTGTGAATATCTTCATGATCTCACTGTCGTTTCATTCCAGACCATATCAATCATATCTCATTAACTATCTGTATTGTTTCATTTATGAATGTCACTATTTGAATTAGTTACCTATTGATTGCTTCGTATAAATATTCGCTTGTTCCAATAAGAATTCGTGAATTTCGTTTATGAACACATTAACATTCTTATATTTAATCAAAAAATTGAACAATCTCAACGATTCGACACTGCCGTTTTGCAGTTAATCAAATGGATGGGTCAAAATTATGCAGTAGAATGACATGTGGGGATTTTTGAAAGCTTGACTGGAGAAAATTTGGGATTCGGTCAAAATATAGCGAGAAGCAAACAGATTTTACCGTAAACGCTCATTTTGAGCTGATCATTTTGTAATCATCAACAGTTTTGGTCATTTCACAATAACTGCAAACACAGAGTAAATGATCTGTTTGACACTGATGCATGAAAGGATGATAGAAATTCTCTGGTCATTCATCATGCACTCGGAATGTTCGTTTTTTAGAACTCCGAANAAGATGGATTTAAATGTAAATTTCCAGTTAATAACTTTACATAATGCGGTTTTGTTATTCAGTTTCAGTTGAAATTCCAGCTGAACCCTTCACTGGCATTGTATAAGCATATTGTGACGGTGAGAGGTGCTATCTCATAGGAAGTGTACGTATTATTCAACTTCTCGAATTGCAAGCTGTGCAGTTTCTCATAACTGATGACAGCTCTGATCAGATTCAAGAGCATCGACACTTTAAGCATAAACATATGGAAACATGCAATCCGCTTCGAAATTTCAAAACGATTTCGAGGATAGAGATGAATCGTTCTTGAGAAAGCCATCTATCTTTAATCAGTATCATGTAGACCGTTCTTGTAACTGAATTTGTTTGTTTCACGTGGCCAATATATGAAAACATGCCATCATCGACTAAACTTTGAACACGACACTCATCCTTGAGCATATCCATCACAATACGGAAACATCAGCTTCACTATGAGCATTACGATCGCTCTTTCAGAGAATATCTCCCACTACATTACTGTTATTATATTTGTTATTAAATGGAAGTTCACTCGTGCAACTGAGATTTCTTGCTTATGAAAGTGCTTGTTACGGATGTTTGACAGCTTATGCGTTATCTCCTCATTTCCGCACAAAATTCTGATCATGTTCAGTGGAAATCCTCAATTCAGCTGAAAAAATGGTACGTATCACATGGATTGCACCGTATGTGAGTGAGCATATGAAGAGCACTCATCTGAGAGGCAGCAGTTACATTGTTGTGGCGAAAAGCCGATCGTGGTTTTTTGGAGAATTTGCAAAGAAAATTATAAATGTATCAGAATAATAATAATAATGCAACTGATTAATCGCATAGTTTTTATCACGGAAAATATCAGTTTATCGTGAGCAATCTGTTTTTGTCTTGTTTGACCGAATTTTTGAAATATATACGGA